TAACCTTCAAAATTAAATTACAATATTAAGACATTGATTATATTCTTAATATTATTTAATTACATTTATTACCCTTTCTTGGTTCTTCGCTATATCCAACTTCAACTTCACCATCACTCTAACCACCTCTTCCTTCCCCCATGCACGGATGCGTGCCACTCCGGTTCTTTCATAAGCTGGCACTGCCTCACAGCCCGACCAAAAATCGAACAGTGCAACCTGCATTTATAATAAAATTTATATTTTTATATAAAAACACAAAAAAGTTCTTCAACTCATTTACCTCTAAGATTGTTATGCACCCTTTGAGGTATCTCTAGCTGCCCTTTTTAAAGGTGATTATTGATTCAATCAATCTCGAATGGATATATTCAGCCCAATTGAATTCACCCTTCAAGCCTTCATCACAAATGAGCTTCATATGTTCTTTGTTCGTTGACGTATTACCCGTTGGACAAAGAAAGATACCGACAAGGTATAATAGAACTCTGCCTTCAGCTCATCCCCAACGTAAGATCCACTTTTTATTTCCTCTTCAATTTCAGCATATGTCACCTTATGCTTCAAACCTATTTGGAGGCAAGTGCTTTCCAGTCCTTACTCTGACAGACTTCTACAACACTTTTGCCTTCATTTTCTACCCCCAATACGGCTGCAACACATGGGATCCCGAGAGGAAATGAAAAATCACCATATTTAGCAATACATTGCCTGACATCAAATTGCGCCATCAAGGATCGACATAATTCCCTCCGAATAGGTCGATCCCTTACTCCTACCAACGATCCAAAACCTATTTCTCCCAGCACATTCAACTGACCCTTCTCCTTAAGGTGTTTAATTAATAAATTCACCCTTTTAATACTGCATCTTGTCGACACTTCCTACATTTTTTAACAATATAATGTTAGTTCTTATATTTTGTATCAAAGTATTTACAAGTTTAATGAATACCTTATTTTCATGTGCTTTCCTCCGTTCTTTGTATTCTTTACTATCATTCCTTGACTGTGTGATGTAAGGTTCCTTTTCAGCATCACTCATTGAATTCCATTTGGACCTCACATCTTTTGTCACCTAATATAAAACAAAACGTTTCTTAATCAATACATTAACACTAAATACTACTCAATGTCAATGTCAATTTCATTTTACATACCGAACCGCTCTGTGTGCCATCTTCCTTCATCCTTTTGCATTCGGCCATACTGTCAACATTTAAAATTTGTAATCAATTTAAAGTTTATCGATACTTTAATCCAATTACCATTTCAACAATAATAACAAAAAGACATTGATACTTACTAGAAGTACATATCCACCCTTGGGTTGCTTTCGAGTCTCGGCCTCAATTTCAAAGTCATCTGCTCCACCAACAATTTTTCAACCCATTGACTCCATTTTTCCTTCATATATCAGTTTACGCAAATCAAATTATTTTGTTACATACACTTTATTCAATATACAAATATAGATAACTACTCTTGTGTAAAACGGTTTTCTTCAAAAGAATTTTAATGGCCACACCAAATGTGTCGGCACATTTTATACAACCTATAATATCATTTTCTACCTATAATATTTAATAAAAGTATCGACATTTATATTTTTCCTTGAATATCACTTTCTACCTGCAATCGTTCCCAAATGCTTCTTTATTACAAAACCCCAAACAACACATAAAAACCCTATCGCGATTACTGTAATAATAAAAAAATTAGGGTTTCGACAACATACTTTTCGATTCGACTGCAGCAACAAACAAACAAACTTCGCTTTAGAAACACTTTCTGAAATGCAGCAACAATTACGCTTCGCTTTCAAAAACTCGTACGTTCTATCTATTTTCAGAGGAGATTTAGCTTATATTTTGATCGGATATGTTATTTATATTTAATCGATACAAATACAAAAGTGTCGATACTTTTGTCAGGTGTCGATACTTTCGAAAGGATAATTACCTATTTCTTTGAAAGTGTCGAAAATTTATTACACGTACTTACGAAAGTATCGACACTTTCAATATATCCGGTATCATTTTACTGGTTTTATCATTTTGATACTTGTTTTATCATATTTTTACCTGTTATATCGTTGTGGATCGATATTTTTTTAAAGTATCGACACATTATAAGCGCTAAAACTGCTTCTCTTTTAAATTCACAAAGTGTCGATCCTTATATAAAGTATCGACACTTTCAATATATCCGGTAACGTTTTACCGGTTTTATCATTTGTTACCGGTTTATCATATTTTTACCTGGTATATCGTTTTAATATTTCTTCATGACTTATACCTACTTTTATACGTATGGACACTTTTATAAAAATGATATATACTTTTTTTAAAGTTATGTAATTTATGTTTCAATTTTTTTTAATAGTGTTTCATGTTTTCCACCTACAATATTAATTTAATAATTTCATTTACACAAAAAAATTATTTGATTATTTGATATTTTATAAAATATTATTTAGAATTTAAATTTAACAATATTAACCAAAGATAATAATAAATATGTTTTCCACAGTGAAATAAGTATGGACACTTTTATAAAAATGATATATACTTTTTTTAAAGTTATGTAATTTATGTTTCAATTTTTTTTAATAGTGTTTCATGTTTTCCACTTACAATATTAATTTAATAATTTCATTTACACACAAAATTATTTGATTTTTTGATATTTTATAAAATATTATTTAGAATTTAAATTTAACAATATTAACCAAAGATAATAATAAATATGTTTTCCACAGTAAAATAAGTATGGACACTTTTATAAAAATGATATATATATTTTTTAAAGTTATGTAATTTATATTTCAATTTTTTTAATAGTGTTTCATGTTTTCCACCTACAAATATTAATTTAATAATTTAATTTACACACAAAATTATTGATTGTTTTGATATTTATAAAATATTTTTAGAATTTAAATTTAACAATATTAACCAAAGATAATAATAAATATATTTTCACAGTGAAATAAGTATGGACACTTTTATAAAAAAGATAGATACTTTACAATATAACATGTAAAAATATGACAAAATCAGATTCATTATGACAAAACCGGTAAAATTTACTTAATATGTTAAAAAGTATGGACACTTTTATAAAAATGATAGATACTTACCGATAACCAAAGTTTACCGGTTACCAAATTTTTTAACAGTTTTTCATATTTTCTACCTAAAACATTATTAGTTGTCAACATAATAGGTACCGCTAAACCGAATTTATTAAATACATTTTAATATATTCGGTACTGTCGTATATTAACCGTATATTAACCGCATTTCCTGAGACAATCCCTGTCATGTTTGTTGTTTGAACTTTGAAGTAAATGCACGCATTGCTTCCCCCACTTTCCTCGTCTTCTCCACGATGCAAAAATACTGTGGACGACAACGCTGCTGTAGCTCCTTCTACAAGCAAATTTGGACACGCTATTTTTTTTCAGTATATTTGGAATTGAGTTTAAGTGGAAAATTTATTTATAGAAATAAAAAAATAAAAAAATAATTTAATTATTATATTAAATTTCATCATTATTTTTTTATAAATTTTAAATTTAATCTTAATCATAATTAGAAGAAAGGAAACGAGAATTCTAAGAAAAGGAAAATGAGTAGTTTTAATGGATTTAAAATTCATGACTTATAAAATAGAAAGGAAGAAAAATGAAAATTTTGATCAATCTACCAAATAAAAAAAATATCTCTAAAATAAAAGTTGTTCTCTATAACTGAACTTCCGCCTATACATATGTATTATATTTGGGACCATCAGCAAAATTATCTATCATAAAATGGGATCATTTAAGTGAAATTTGAATAAATAATTTAAACCATCAAATTTTATCGTAAATTTTAAAAAATATATTAATTTTATTTAAATAAAAAATTACATTTTAAAGAAGAAAAAACTCAATACAATAAAGGTAAACTATTTCATATAACAATAAACACTAGACGTTATATCGTTTATACCATTAAATTTTAAATTTGTCTAATTATATCATTAAATTTTAGTTTTTACTTTAATTATGCGATTATAATATTAAAATCCAAAATTTTCAGCTCAGTTTTTGTTTCAGCAACTAGGACAATGTCGTCAGCGAAAAGCATACACCATGGAACACCGTCTAGTGTCGCACAATAGATGTCGTCCATAATCAAGGCGAAGATGTAAGGGCTAAGAACCGACCCCTGATGGAGTCCGATTTCTACTGGGAAAACTTCTGTGTCCCCAACTGTAGTCCTGACATATGTAGTAGATCGACAGTACATATCACGAATCGCCCGGATATAAGCAGTTGGGATACGTCTCGTTTCCAAGGTCTTCCAGATCGTATTGCGGGAAACGCTATCATACGCCTTCTCAAGGTCAATGAACACCATGTGAAGATCTCTATTTTTTTCCTATATTTCTCTATAAGCCGTCGAAGTAGATGAATCGCCTCCGTAGTAGACCTACCTGGCATAAAGCTAAATTGGTTTTCCGAAACCGTAGTAACTTGTCTCAACCTAGCCTCTATCACCCTTTCCTATAGCTTCATGGTATGACTGAGTAGTTTAATACATTTATAATTATCACAACGTTGAGGATAATTCTTATAGATTGGTATCACCGTAGACTCTCTTCACTCCTCTAACATCTTGGTAGTCTCTAAAATAATATTAAAGATGTTGGTCAACCACTTTACTCTCTCTTCTCCTAAGACCACCCACACAGTGATAGAAATTTGATCTAGACCAACACTCCCTATTTTTCTAAGAGCCATTTTGACTCGAAGCAGTGAGTTAATGCTAGCTTGACAACCCCTGGTCGTGGATTAAGAGATTCTGAAACGCCGACGATTCTCTGATTCAGCGTTTGATATAACGGATAAACTAATATCTTGTAGTAGTAATTTTGTTAACGCAACCGATCTAACTCGGGTTCACTAAGCTCTATAAATACCCCTTAATCAGTCCCTTACTTTCTCCCCCTTGAAAAGACTCGAACCGAACATCAAACAGTAAATGATGATGGCTTCCACATCTGCTACAATGGCTTCCTTCACCTCTGCCTCTGCTTGTTTTATGGGCTCCAAAGTTTCCATCAAGGAACAGAGATCCATGCCTACACGTGTCCATTTCCGACAAATTCGCATGTCCGCCACCTGTTCATCGACGGCCGAGAGACCGGTTTCCCACATTGCTTGTCCGTCATCGCTGTACGAGGTATTGGGGATTCCGGTGGGCGCCACGTGTGACGAAATCAAGGCTTCTTACCGGAGACTGGCGCGTGTTCTACACCCTGATGTATCGGCTAATGGTCGAAAAGCCGCCGCCGCCGCCAACGAGTTCATCAAAGTACACGAAGCTTACTCTACGCTGTCGGATCCTGAGAAACGGGCTGATTATGACCGAACGTTGTTGTTCAGGTCAAGGCGGTCTTTTTCTCTTTCTGTCGAGCCGATGACCGGTCCATCGGCTTCTCAGTTTTCTGGTTATACGAAGCGAACATGGGAAACTGATCAATGTTGGTGACACTTTGGATGAACTTCGAAATTCAGAGACGGGTTTTAGCTAATTTTTCATTCTTCTGGGCATTTTGGCTTTTGGGAATCACTAATTTTCTGTTAATTTTGCCTGTAAATACTAAATATAAGTATCTAAAACAGGCTGCTTTTTTTATAGCCTGAGTTTATAAAGGTTGGATTTTTGTGATATGATCTTAGTCTTCTGTTTCTTATTCTACAAAATCCCAATAAGAATCCCAAATTTTTAGATTGTCATTGATTTCTATTCCTAAATTGCATAGATACTCCAAATCAAGCAATTCAAATCGGTAATGGGTTATCAGAATAAAATGTAATAAAAAAGATCTGATGAGAGAACTGAACTTTTTACTTTAATCATCTGGAGTTAAGTTACTGATAAACAAAGAAGAAAACTATTGAAATCTGCGAGGCAGGTCAGAATTCAATTTTTTGTTTCATGCCCGAGCCCAACTGTGAGGACAGTCCAGTAAAAAAATACCCATTCTTATCTGTACGAAATGATAACAGGAGGAGGCGTGTTGGAACTTTAATGCTTTTACCATTTAACGTTGTCTTCAATCCGGCCGCCTGACAATTGTCACCGGAGCTAAACTTGTGCGTTGGTCGAACAGAGAATGGCACGGCTTATACGGTCTCTAAGGCAATGGCCTCCATTACAGCTGCAGCTGCAGCAGTTGCAGTACCACTGCTCCTCTCGGGTACTAACATTATCAACTAAACCCTCTTCCCATTGTTTCTATTTCGCCACTTCAACTTCATCCCGTGGGAACGCTCGTCACCGTCCACGCGGAATCAGATTATCCAATGCCCAATCTCCATCTAATGTCCAAGAAAGCGAAACCAGCGACGACTTGGAATCCGACGTAAAGAAGAGCCGCAACCAGAAGAAGCGCGAGGCTCGTCGCGCCGTCCGTTGGAGCATGGACCTTGCTTCCTTCTCCACCCCTCAAATCAAACGTATCCTCAGGTACAGTTCAATCCAAGAAAACATATATTTGTTTGAGCTTTTGAAATGGTATATACCTAAAGCTAATATCTTCAATTTAATTTTTTTAGAGTGGCTTCTCTCGAACAAGATGTTTTCGATGCTTTAATATTAGTTAAGGTATTTAAGAAATTGCAAAATTTTATAATTTGAAACGCTTGTGTTGATTCGTTGCAAAATATGTTATTGAACACAAGGTATTTGTATTTTGGTCAGTTATATTGGTAAGAATAGTTTATTCGACGTCAATTGATTTGTATTCCTTTAACTTATACGCAGCTTTGTTCTTATGTTTTGTGTTAGGGAAACTGCTTCGAGAAGCAGAACCCGAATTGATGGAAACTTTGATTCAAGCTACAAAAGTAGGTGACCAGAAAACATTGCAGGCTTTAGCTGCTTCAAAGACACAAATCACTGAAGAAGAAGAAGAGGATGATGATCCATTCGAATATACTGTAATTTAAGTTTGATTTTAACTTATAATAAGCTTAAGCCAATTACACTCGAATATAGCGTTGTCTTACCGATTTATTTTCCGTGTGGCAGTCACAGGAGTTTGTCAATATTGCAAATAGATGGTTTGATGGGTTGATCAGCAAGGACATTGAAATTACAAATGAAGTATTTTCAGTTAGCAGCGTCGATTTTGATCGTCAGGTAAGCAAAACCAAGTTAAATGTTGCTCATTTGTTGCCAAAAATCTCTTAGCTGGTTTGATCAGTATGTACCGTTGGAGGCTTGGGGATAGTTAGGCTAGCAAAGTCGTCTAAATTCTTTGCCGTTAAATCGCTTGATTGTGCAAAACTCGAATCGTTGCTCATTTTTTGTTTTGCTTTTTTGTTCAATCATCAAGTTATGTCTTTTGGATAAGTAACAGATTTTATTCATTTAAGAAGCTATTAAACTGCTACTGTTTCAGAGTCCTCTGCATACACAACTTAAATGTAGAGGAATTTAAACCCCAAGCATTGGAAAGATTCGACCGAATCATTTGCAGTGCTCCTTAGACCTGCAAGCCATAATTATACTGCAGCCTCAATATAACCAAGTACTGCTCACTTGTCGTCGGTTCTGCGCCAAATGTTAAACATATAGGCAAAATTCCAAGCTATCCTACCGCTTACCTCGCTGCCGATTACAGATAGGCAATTTTGAGCTAGCCTACCACTTCCCTTGTTTCTGGCTCTGAAACAAATCTGATACATATATATATATAGGGAATTCTGAGCCAAGTCTGATATATATATATTGGGAATTCTGAGCTATCCTTGGAATAACTGAAATAAGAGCCTTTCTTTTGAGCCTGGCAACAGCCGAGTGCAGTTCATCATCCAAGCTGCTGCTCTTCTGTTTGTCGGACAAAGTAGCCTGATACATTGCGGAATGGATTATTTCATCGAGTAGTGTTGCTTTTACAGGAATTGCGTAAACTTGTTCGAAAAGTGCAGACGAGTCAAGAACAAAGCCGGAATTCGAGTGAAGAAGACAAGGCAAAAATAGAAGCAGCGGTAAAGAGAGTGGAGAAGTCCCTTACCCGGTTTCTTCGTACCTTTGCCAATGCCAATCAATTGGCAACAGAAGATAGTTTTGATTAATTTGTTCTGTAATATCATTATTATTTTTTGGTTCGAAATGTATATCTTTATTTTGTACCAGAACTAATAGCTAAATAATTGTACTTGTAGTTTAACTTTTAAAAATATGATATGTAAAAGCATAATATTAAGAGCCATACGAAAATATCAATGGACGGACGGACGGACCAGGTGAAGCTATAAGGGTGTAGCCAGCCAGTACTAGACTTGGTTTTCTGCATCATTGATAAACAGTAATTATATTTGGGTTTTTTTTTGGCTGCCTATATGTGGCAGTGTTGAAAAAGAGCACTCTATTTGTTATATAGCCTTTTATTTAATCCACCACGCATTTATTAACAAAATTTTACATGCAAACAAATAGTAAAGTAAAAATCAAATGGATCTGAATTTGAAAAATAGTTTTAGTATAAAGGATGATATGTTATTTTAAATAATTTCAATTTAAATAATATTATTTGAACGATATGTATTATTTTTTCCAAATAAAAAAATCAAAAAGATATTAAAAACTTTAATTGGATCTATTAAAAAAAATCTCACCCAAACACCGCAATTCTTCTCAAAATCCAGTGGAGTAGACACCATATCGACTTAAAGTTGGCCCACGTTGACGTTAGTTTCCGAAAAGCTCAATTTCCCTTATAAAATCCAATTTATCGCCATGAAGAATCTCACACTTCCCCAACACCCATTTCTGGACAATAAGGAGACGAGTTTTGGATTTTGCCCATAACCCAATTTCTCTTCTTCTTTTTTCTCATTGTACAATAGGATTCTTCTTACAAAAGATTAACTTTTTGATTATTAACGTGGGCGTAAACTTTTCACGTGGGGAAATCTGGATATTTTGCCATCATCTTTTGTCGGTTGGCTCTTAGCACTTTTTACAAGTTTTCGTGCCTGTAGAAAACAGTTGTAGCTGATTATTTTTGTTTGTACAGTTAGAGAATTAGTTAATTTATTTTTGGTTAGTTACAAGTTAGTTAGATGCCTAGTTATTGTATAAATATACTGGTTGTATTATTTTATGATATATAGAAATAAAAGTGAACTTTCCAGTATCCTTGAATTAGTGTTTTAACATGGTATCATTCGGTTCATTTCTGGGCTCTTGGGTTATTGGGCTTCCTTCACGCTAAGTCCATTTTTTGTCTCTTGTTTCTGCGCAAGTTTCCCAATTCCTGTATTGCTCTCTGCGTTTCTTCTCTTTCTTTGTTTCTCTTCGCGATGCCTCCACAGGACGCTTTGGAGATTGATTTCACGCACCCCCTGTATTTGCACCCATCCGATACGCCAGGGGCTGTTCTTGTTTCTCACCAACTCACTGGAGTTCATGATTACATCGTCTGGAGTCGGTCAATGCGCATCTCCCTCTTCGCAAAAAATAAGTTAGGGTTCATTGATGGGGTTTGTCGTCGGTCTGATTTCGTGGAACAGCTTCAATCGCAGTGGGATCGTTGCAACGCGATTGTCCTCTCCTGGCTAATTAATTCGGTCAGCAAGGATCTCTCAGCAGGTATTGTTTTTTCCTCGAGTGCTGCCCTTGTATGGTCCGATTTGAAAGAGCGATTTGACAAGGTGGATGGTTCTCGGGTTTATTTTCTACACCGAGAAATTGCAACTCTGGTTCAAGGAAATTCTTCGATTTCGTCGTATTTCACAAAATTGAAGCTCCTTTGGGACGAGTATGGTGCTTTGGTACCCCTTCCTTCCTGCGATTGTGACAATGCACAGTAGATTACTGCTAATGCTCTTCAACAACGTTTATTTCAATTCATAATGGGATTGAATAAATCATATTCTGCTGTGCGTAGCCAGATCCTCCTAATGCAGCCGTTACCAAATGTCAATCAAGCTTATTCGATGCTGGTTCAAGAAGAGTCGCAGCGATCGCATTCTACTGGTATACCTTTGACCCATGATTCAACTGTTTTTTATTCTAATTCTTCTGCATCTTCTGACAGTACGGGTCGACGCCAATTCAATGGAACTTGTGACCATTGTAAAATTAAAGGTCACAAAAAAGACCAGTGTTACAGATTGATAGGGTTTCCTGCTAATTTCAAGTTTGATCGGAAGAAAGATGCTTCCGCTTTTCTTACTGGTAAACTTGAAGATCATGTTCCTTCTCCTGTTCCTCCTGTGTCCACTGCTCCCGTATTTACTCAAGAACAGTACAACCAGATATTGAGTTTGTTGCATCCAGCTCCAGCTTCCGAGTCCTCGGTTAATCTTGTGGGACAAGCTTCAGGTACTCTTTCTTCTATACAGTGGATCTTGGACACTGGTGCTACTAATCATATTACGTTTGAATTCTCTTGCTTGACAAATCCTGTTGCATGTGCTTCTAAAAATAGGTTTGTTCATCTTCCTAATGGTAAAAAAGCCCTCATTACTCATATTGGCTCTTACATCCTTAGCAAAGACCATATTATTCACAATGTTTTGTTTGTCCCTGACTTTAGAAATAACCTTTTGTCTATCACTAAACTAACCAATGAGCTTCAATGTGTTGTTTCGTTCTATCCTGCATTTTGTATTTTGCAGGACATCTTCAGTGGAAAGATCAAGGGGATTGGTAAGGAACGTGGAGGTCTCTACTTGCTCGAGTCTTCTTTTGCATCCTCGGGTTTGCCTTTATCTTCTGCTCATGTTTCTTCATTTTTGAATTCTTTTGTTTGTCAGTCTGTAAGTCGTCATTCTCCTACTGTTACTAAACTTTGGCATGCTAGACTTGGGCATGCTGCCATTAATAAAATTCACAAGTTGTCTGTTCTTCAGTCTGTTAAGTTTAGTCCTAATGATGTACAACATTGTTCTATATGTCCTATGGCTAGACAAACACGTTTGCCATTTCCTTTAAGTACTTCTAGAACTGAACACCTATTTCAATTACTTCACATAGATCTTTGGGGTCCCTATGGAATTTCTACTCATAGTGGACATCGCTATTTTCTTATGGTTGTCGATGATTTTAGTCGTATGACTTGGGTGTTTTTATTACGACTTAAAAGTGATGTTGTTATTCATTTAAAAGCCTTCTTCTTGATGATTAACAATCAATTCTCTACTTCTGTTAAAATAATTCGTAGTGACAATGGATCCGAATTCTTCAATTCGGTTTGTTCCCCTTTGTTTTCTTCTCTTGGCATAATTCATCAGTCGAGTTGTGTCCGTACTCCTCAACAAAATGGGGTAGCTGAGCGTAAGCATAGACATTTACTTGAGGTTGCTTGTGCTTTAAGATTTCATTCTAAAGTTCCTTTAAAGTTTTGGGGTGAATGTGTTCTTGCTGCTTGTTATCTGATAAATAGATTACCCCCTCTGTTCTATCTTGGCTAACTCCTTTGAATTGTTACATAAAAAAACCCCTTCCTTATCTCACATTCGTGTTTGGTTGTCTTGCCTATGCCACTCAGACACATTTAACTGATAAATTCGCTTCACGAGCCATTCCTTCAGTATTTCTTGGTTATTCTTCTACTCAAAAAGGCTACCTTTTATTTGATCTTGAAAAAAAAGTTTTTTTTGTCAATCGTGATGTTGTTTTCCATGAGTCTGTTTTTCCTTTCAGTTTCCCTCAACAGTCTGGTTCTTTCTTTCCTACTCAAACCTATCAAAATGATGATGAATTCTTGGTTCTATCCCAACCTTCTATCTCTCATGATGATCCCTCTTCACCAGTTTTACCAGAATCATCAGAACCTTCTGCTCTTCCATTGCGTAAGTCTTCTCGAGCATCTAGACCTCCTACATGGCTACAAGATTATGTGTGTTCCAACCAGTCTTCCTCTTCTTCTTCCACTTGTAAGTACCCCCTTATTCATAATGTTTCTTATGATCATTTACCTGTTCATACACAACATTTTCTTGCTACCACTTCATCCATTATTGAACCACAATCCTATTCTGAAGCTATTTCTAACCCGGTTTGGATTAAAGCCATGCAAGAAGAAATTCAAGCATTAGAATTCAATGGTACTTGGTCTATAGTGCCTTTGCCTCAAGGAGTGACTCCCATTGGTTGTAAATGGGTTTTCTGTGTCAAATATAAAGCTGATGGCACAATTGAGCGTTTCAAAGCACGTCTTGTGGCTAAAGGTTACAATCAAAAGGAGGGTGTTGATTTTATTGAGACGTTTTCTCCTGTAGCAAAATTAGTCACTGTTAGGACGGTTCTTGCTCTTGCTGCCATGAATGACTGGCCTCTTTTTCAAATGGACGTGCATAACGCTTTTCTGCAAGGTGATCTCTTTGAGGATATATACATGAAGTTGCCTGAGGGTTTTAGCAGCCAGGGGGAGAATATGGTTTGTCGGCTGCAAAAATCTCTCTATGGTTTGAAGCAAGCTTCACGACAGTGGAATTTGAAGCTCACTGAAGCATTGGTAATGGCAGGATATCAGCAGAGTAAGTTTGATTACTCGATGTTCACAAAAAAGGAGGGTGACAGATTGGTGGTAATACTCATTTATGTAGATGATCTTTTGTTAACTGGTAATGATTTAGTCTTAATCAATGAGTTGAAAGACATGTTAAATTGCAGTTTTAAGATGAAAGATTTGGGAGAATTGAAATACTTCTTAGGACTTGAGGTCTTAAGGTCAAAAGAAGGGATTGTGTAAATCAGAGGAAATATGCTTTAGAATTGCTAAAGGAAACTGGTCTTGAAGGAGTCAAACCAACCTTGACCCCTTTAGAGCAAAATTTAAAGCTTACCTCCACAGAATATGATGAACATTTGCAGCAAAAGGAAGATGAAGTACTGATTGAAGAGAAGTTAATTTTTCAAAGGTTAATTGGAAGGCTAATATACTTAACGCATACTCGGCCAGATATTACATTTGTTGTTCATCATCTTAGTCAGTTTATGCAACAACCGAAGAAAACACATTTAGAGGCAGCATTGAGAATTATCAAGTATTTGAAGAAGGAACCAGGACATGGGATATTGTTGAAGAAAACAAGCAATAATCAACTGTCAGCATACTGTGATTCTGATTGGGCTTCAT